CCGGGACATACTGGAGAAGACATTCATGGGTGACCCCATCCATCCCCAGCTCCTCTTCCTCATTCCAGCCATGCCAGGGTGCCCTGGGAGGGATGGGTGTCTCCTACCATTCTTTGTGCCCAGGGTGTGATCCTGCTCAGGGCCGGGGTACTTAGCAAGGGGGACCCCGCTCTTCCAGCCCCAGGCGAAGCCCTGCAGGTGGGGGTCCGAGGGGCTGCTCCAGCCGCACATGTCCTGCTCGAAGTCACAAGATGCTGGGAGGAAAGGGGGGGCTATGATAGACCCAGTGCTGCAGGCACCCACTGCCCTGCACTGCCTGGTGGGAGACTGGGGGCAAGGGGGGGGGAATGTCTGCCCCCAGCACCCTCCCCACTGCCCCCAGCTTTGGGCCAGGCCCAGCTCAGGGCAGGAGCATGGTGCCCAGTGGCCACAGCTGAGCCATGATGGCTAGGACAGGCTGTCTCCATCCCCATGGCCACATGCCCCCATGGGGTGACCTGTCCAGCCCATAGTGCCCCCCCCCTGCAGCATGGGCTCTCACCTGGCTCAGGGCAGGGTCCATCCGACACATGCAGGTCATCCAGTGCGATGTACCCTTGGTTGCTCCCAGCTCCCACTGCCTCGAATATTACCTGGCAGAGAGGTGGGCAGGGTGGCACGCTGAGACTGGCAACTGCCATGCACCACTAGTCACACCCAGCCTGTCCCCCTCCCAGCCACAGGGTTCCGAGTACCCTGGCCCATCTCACCTGCCAGTCTCCATCGGGCCGGACAGTGACGTGGCCACGGTGCCACATGTCCCCTTCCATGGTGCTCACGCCCATCACCTTCCTCCGCACCCCACTCTGCTCCATGAAGATCCCCAGAGAGCCTGTCCAGGGCACCCACCATGGAGGGACGGTCCAGGGCCATGCTGTGCCGGAACCCCACCCAACTGGAGGTGACCCCGGGGGGGTCATGGTGCTCACCTGGGGTCCCGGCGCTCAGCTGGTACCAGAAGGCCAGGCACTGGGTGGGTGCAGAGGGCCGGTAGGGCTGGGAGGTGAGGGCAGCCACGTGCCCCGCAGGCAGGGAGCCCCTGCCTGTGCTCACCACCATGTAATGGCCTGGGAGAGAGAAGCCCCCACGCTGTGACCCCCACCCAGTCTTGCTGGGGGTGCACCAGGGCACTGCTGGGGTTGGGGAGCCCTGGGGCTGGGAAACTGCATTTGGGGAGCCCCAGGATTGGAGAGTCCCATACAGTAGTGCCTTCTGCACATCCTGGGCAGAACAGGCAGAGCAGGCAAGGAGGGTGGGTAGGGCACTGAGTGCAGGTAGGGCAGGCAGGACACAAGGCAGGTGACAGGCAGGGCAGGGAAGGCAGGCAGGACACAGGGCAGGCAGGGCACGGGGCAAGTAGGCAGGGAAGGAGGGCAGGTAGCAGGGCTCCTGCAGAGCCCCAACAAGCTGTGGCCACGGTACCTGCCGTGGTGCCAGTCGTGTGGTCAGCCGCAGGGCCAGCTGTGGTGCCCGTGCCGTTGCTCTGCCAGAGCCAACTGTGCTGCCCACTGGCTGCCAGCCCACAGCTGCCTGCCTCAAAGGAGCAGGAGAGCTCAGCCCCACAGGGCCCCGCCGTCAGCACAAGGTCATCCAGCGCCATGTCCCCCAGGAACCCATTCCGCAGAGCCTCGAAGGCCACCTGCCACCAAGACAGCAGTGTCAGACTGCCCAGCACCCCGCCAGCACCCGGTGGCATGGGGGGACCTGGCCCTCACCCGGTATCGCCGCCGGCCTGTGGCAGGCAGTGTTGCCCATCCCCGGTGCCAGACACTGCCCTGGGTCCCCCGGCGGGTCCAGAGCACTGTCTCTTCCACTCCCTCCAACTGCATCTTGAGGTTCAGGGTGCCTGGGCAGAGGGAAGCATCAGGCAGCTGTCCTGCACCCTGCGGGGACCCCGCTGTCCCCAGGGGAGGGGAGCCCAGCTGGGCACCCTGGGAAGGTGCCAAGGGGCTGCGTACCAATCTGCGGGCCAGCCAAGCGGTACCAGAAGGAGAGGCAGCGCGGGGTGGTAGTGGGCTCTTGGCTGTAGGTGATGATCTGTGCCTGCTGCCCGCGGCTCCACGGCACAGAGGGGTCCGCAGCCAAGAAGTAGCCTAAGTGTCAGGGACAGCCAGGGTGGACGGGACACAGACATGGGTGCTCCAAGCTGTGCCCGCAGCACCCACACCAGATCTGGGTGCCCCTGGGCTGCCCTGGCTGAGCTCGCCCTGCGGGCATGGGGCTGCTTGAAGAGTGCAGGGCACATCTGGGCCCTGGGTACAGGAGGCTGCAGGGTGCCCTGGGCTGCCCGGGGTCCCCAGGAGAGGAGCCAGTCCCTTACCTGAGCCAGTGGTGTGGTCGGAGCCCTGCCCCTGCCCCATGCCACGGACCCATTTGAAGTCACTGGACTGATCCTGGTACCAGCCACACATGCCTCTCTCAAAGTTGCAGGACAGTTCTGGCCAGAGAGAGGTGACGGTGGTGAAGGAGTGAGATAAGGCACCTCAAAAGCAAATGGGTCCTCCAAATGTCCCTTTCCCTCTGCTCGCCTCCCTGCTCCCCAGGTTCACCCCATGCAGGCTTGACCCTGATCCCAGGGCTTCCGCACCGTGGTCCTATCCCTGGGCTGGGGACAGGGTGACAGTCCCCAAGCATCCCCCATAGGGGTGTCACCATTCCCCCATGGGCAGGGGACCAGCATCCCCTCCTGCCTGCAGCCGTCCTCCCTGCCCATGTGCCCTGACTGTACCTGTGGCCCCTGGTGGCACCATGTTGAGGTGGCACTGCACAAATGTCACGTTGTCGATGGCTGCACTCGCCGAGTCCTGCAGATCCACCAGCCCCAGCAGCTCGACCTGGGGAAGCATGGTGGCTGCGGTGAGCCCAGGGTGCCAGGCAGCACTCGCGCTACCGTGTTGACAGCCCCCCAGACTGGTCTCTGTGTCCCCGGGTGCACCTGGAAGGCTCGGGTCCTCTCTCCCATCAGGACACGGACGTGTCCCTGGGCAGTGCCGCTGGGTCCCTGCATGTGCCAGGCCAGATGGGTGGTGCCAGTGGTGTGATCTGCGATGCTGACGGCAAGGAAGCCTGGCACGAGAGGCGGTGCAGATCCTGCAGGCACTGGCAGCCCCCAGCCACCCCCTGGAAGCCCCCCGTGGCCCCAGTACCCCCCCAGTCCATGGTCACAGGGAACAGGGACACCCCAGCTCCAGGATGGTGTGATGGGGCAAAGTGGTGCTGGGAGAGGCAGCAAAGGCAGGCATGGGGGACCGCTCTGCCAGGGTGGAGCAGGGAGTGGGCAGGGCACCCCGGGTGAGCTGGCTTGGGCAGGGAGCAGGCAGAGCACCCTGGGGCCAGGCAGGGCATCCTGGGACGGGGCAGAGGCATTACCTTGGGGGCCGCTGTGGATGTGGTAGCTCATCTCCATGGCACAGGCGGGTCCGGAGGGGCCCAGCAGAGGCGTGCGTGCCTTCGCAGCAGCCACCATCTGTCCTTCTCCTGCCTGGAGGGCCAGGAAAGCCCCTGGGCACAAAACATCCTGAGAGATTGGAGCAGTGGCCCCAGCCCAGCACCCTGCCCAGGTATCACCCCCACTAGTCCTGCAGTGGCACTCAGGCACCCCAGCCAGGCGGGACCAGGGAGTCCCTGCACCCTGGGAGCTCCTGCAGTGCTGGGGACCAAAGAGCATCATCTCATCAATGGGAACAGCCTCACCTGTGAGGACGGTGTCAGCGAGCTCAGTGCCCCTTTGCACGCCCCAGCGCAGCCGCCCCACGCTGACATCACGCCAGCCCCCGTCCCCCTCCTCGAAGGTGGTTGCTCCTGTGAAAGCCCAGGCTCAGCCCCATCAGGCCACCACGTTTCCCAGGGGCTGTACGTCCATGTCACCCAGCCGTGCCAGACAAGGGGTGCCTGGGTCTCCCCTGCTGCCTGGCTGCTGGGCTGCCTGGAGCCCGCCTGTGGCTCTCACCGCAGCGCTTCTCGTCGGAGCCATCGGCACACGTCTCAGAGAAGTCACAGGCCAGCTCCGCGCCAATGCAGCCCCCGCTGTCACAGGCCACCTCCTCAGCCGTGCAGGGGCCAGCACCCACCCGGCTCGGCATCGTGGTCAAAGGTTTCTCTGATGGTGAAACAACCCGGGACGGAGAGTGGTGGCTCTTGAGAGGGCCCGGCAGCACCCCCAGCGTCACCCCTTCGAGCTGCGGTCCCCTGTCCCTGAGCTCTCCATTTCCCCAAGCCCCATCCCTGCCCTGCCCGGCCAGCTGCCACCAGGTGAAGGGGAACAAGGGCATCGGTGAGAGCTGCCTGTGTGACATGGCCCTGGCAGGAGGCTTTGACACATGGGATTGAGTGTCACAGCTGCAGGGCAAGGACACCAGGGGCTGCGGGCCCCAAGGCAAGTACTTGCCATGCTGCACTCAGGATGGTCACTGTGATGAGCAGAGGGATGGTCAGACCCTGCGCTGGGTCCTTTTGGGATGGTGCCATGGGCACAGGACACCTGGGGACCACCGGTCCTGCCAGAGCAGGAGTGGGGGATGCTGCCCGCTGGCTCACCCTGCTCCTGCTTGCAGCCCGGAGACAGGATCAAGTCATCAATGGCCACGGTCCCTGCGCTGCCAGCCACCCCCTCGATCAGCACCTGCAGGGATGTCAGCATGGGCTCTGGCACAATATGGCAGAGCTGAGCAACAGCACTGGGCATGGGGGGACACCAGGGAGAGTGGGACAGAGGGAACTCAGCTCCTGTGATCTTCCCCTGGGAAGGGGCTCAGAAGGAGCAGGGTGATGCTGCAGCTGGGAGGGGTGTGTAGGGTGGGCTAGCACGGCCACGGCAGGCTTGGGGTAGTGGTGCTGCCCCTGCACACAGCCATGGCCTGTTGCTGTGTGTAGGGGTGCTCTTGGAGTGCCATCAGAGTGCCCTCGGGGTGCCCTCGGGATGCTCTCCAGGGCCAGATGGGAGGGGTTGGGTCATGTGGGTGGCCGTGGGGGACAGCAGACAGGATGGTGGGAAGGCACGGGGTGACATGGCATGGATAAAGACAGCCCCCCCATCCCCTTCCAGTGGGGTGGTCCCTGGGCTGGAGGGGCTGGTAGGGGGATTGAGAGGTGTGGGCACATGGCCATGAGGGTGGCACATGCCAGCACCAGAGGCCCAGCTCTGGTGTCCAGTTCCCAGTTCAACCCAGTCCCATGGGTGCATACTGGGAGTGGCCCAGTGCCCCTCACCCCACAGGCAGCCCAGCACGGTGCCAGCCCACCTTGAAGCTCTCTGTCACATTGAAGTCCACTCTCTCCCGGACCCAGAAGCTGCCCAGGTCCCCTGTCCTCTCCCTCACCAGCTGCTTGGTGGATTTGGTCATGTAGGAGATGCTGAGGCTGCTCGTGGCCGAGCCATGGAGGTGGCAGTACAGCATGAGCTGGGGAGGCAGAGGGGAAAAACTGAGCCCTGAAGCTTCAGCACAGGGCCATGCAGCCCCCCACACCCCATGGCATGACTGCTGCCCCGTAGGATGATCACAGAAATGGGGCTGGAGGAGCTCAGAGCTCCCAATGGGCACCAGAGATGTCACCAAACCACCCCCAAAAATCTGCTGCCCATCCTAGCAAAGGGCCAACTGCAGCCCCAGACCCAAGTGGGGGTCCCCACAGCTGGGTGCCCTGTCCCCCACCACTGCCATGCCCACACAGGCTGTGATGCAGGGTCCTGGCTGTGACTCACAGAGCAAGAGTTGGTGGCCTGGAAAGTGGGACTGCTGAGCCGTGCCGTGCCGCTGGCAGCTGTGGCTGAGGAACTGCCTACGTGGAGGAAAAAACCTGTGGAAGACACCAGAAAGGGGATGAGTGGTGCCAGGCCGAGTGTGCGGGTGCAAGATGGTGTTTTCCTGGCACAACCTTAAGCCAAGTCCAGGTGTGTGTTAGCGCAGGGGCCAGAGGGCCCATCTGCCCCAGGGCCAGTGATGCCCCAGGGACCTGTGGTGGTGTTTCCCTGGGGTGCCAGTGCCCAGCCACGCACCTGCCCTGCTGTTATTGCTGTGATCCCGCATGGGGATGCTGTAGCCAGTCCCCAGGTTCAGGCTCGTGTTCCTCTCCCATGCTGGCTGTCCGACCTCTGCCACCCAGCTGCAGAGATCTTGCTCAAAGGAGCAGAGGGTGAAGGACTCTGTGGGGAGAGAGGGAGAGCAGAGTGACACAGGGACAGCAGGTCCCAGCCCTCCCCCCAACAAGGAGGTTCCTTCAATGGGCTGGGCTGATGCCACTCCCCACCCCAAATCCTGCACAGCTGGGGGGCAGAGTCGGGGTCACCCCTGCCAGCCCCATGGCCTGACTTTGGGTAGACCCTCAGCCCATCCATATGGTTGGGGGGCCAGTGGGCAGGACCCCCCTCCCCAGGGCCAGGGATGCTCACTGCACGATGTTGGATCCTCATCCGAGCCATCCCCGCAGTCGTCAGTGCCATCGCAGAAGCGGTGCTGTGCCAGACAGGAGCCCCGTCCGCAGCGGCTCTCCTCTGCCCCGCAGAGCTGCTGCCCGGGCTCTGGGGCAGTGTCACACACTGTCAGCAGACGGCTGGCCCCACAGGGGGCCCCTCATATCCCTCCCTGGGGTGGCTCAAGATATAAGCTATTGCACCCTTCCCCATGTCCTGACCAGGGCAAGGTGCCCCTGAGACCCAGCAGGCAGCAGGAGAGCTCCCCCGGGGGCAAAGCCCAAACTGGTCTCACCCCAGTGGATGCGGGACTCACCCTGCACGCCACAGTTCCTGAAGACAATGTCATCAAGCACCAGCTCTGCCTCGTGTGTGGGCAGTTGTGTCAGGGTGAAGATGAGCTGCCAACAAGAGCAGGGGGATGGCGTGAGCTGAGCACCCGGGCAGCCTCGGCCCCTGGGGCATCACCTGGCCCCTCTGGCCCCAGCTCGTGGGGATGGTGCCAGGTGCCAGCACTGCCCTGTCTCACCTGGAACTGCTCCGCTATGCGGCCTGGGTAGGCAACCAGCTGGTGCCAGCCCTCGCCTTCACGCTTGGGGCTCTGCCACAGCCCCACCACCTCGTCCCTGTATGCCATGGCCAGCCGCAGCACCGGCCACTCTGTCTGGTTGAGCCCTGTGGGGAGCCCCAAAACACAGTCCTTGGCACCCTGGGGGGTACCTGCGAGGATGAACCGAGCCCCGCCACCTCTGGGGACTGGAGCCAGGGCCCCATCAGCTCTGCCTGCAGAGCATGAAAGAGGTGAGCGGGATGGCAAAGACCCATCCTGAGGTGCCAGTGGCTCTGTCCCTACCATGGGCAGATGGATCCGTCCCTCCCCACAGCCCCCCACCATCATTTCTCTGTGTCTGGTACCCCAAGGCCCGTCCATGCTCACCATGGGCACCCTCACTGCTTCCCGAGAGGTGGTACCAGGCTCTGATCTCACATGTGGCGGCTGCTTCCCGCATCACCGGTGACCGGAGCCAGGCCGTGGCTGTGGTCTTTGTTGGGGGGGACACAGTCACCATGAACCACCCTGGGGAAGGCAGAGAGCAGAGCAGGGGCTGCAGCCCCATGAGATGGCACTGAAGCTGTGCCCGGCACCACTCCTGCCCCACCATGTGTCTGCTTGATCCCCTCCACCCTACAAGGATGGGCAGGGCACAGACATCCATCCCCTCCATCCTGGCTTCAGGGCACCCATGGCCCAGAGGTGCGGTGCTGCGGGCATCCAGAGCTCACTCGCCAGCTGAGCACCTCCCGCTTACCCAGGTTGGTGCCCACAGTGTGGTCTGAGTGGGGCCCTGTGCCCCACGTGGCCAGGCTGGCCCGGCTCCGGACCCATCTGTAAGCTGAGGTGCTCTCATCCTGCCAGCCACAGTCACCTTCCTCAAAATCACAGGTGAAGGGTGTGCCCAGCACTGCCGAGCCCCACAGGTACCCTGAGGGCATGGAGATGGGGTGTCAGGGAAGGGCTGGGTCCACCCTGGGCTCCTGCAACCACCCTGGGGACCTGCACCCACCCTGGGCTCCTGCACCCACCCTAAGGGACCCGAGTCCAGCCTAAGGACCTATGTCCACCCCAGGGACCTGCACCCACCTGGAGGACCTGCACCCACCTCAGTGACCCACACCCACCCTGGACACTTGCACCCACCCTGGGACCTGCAGCCACCCCAGGGACCTGCACCCACAATGCCCCTAGCTCCATTGCCTGCTCTCGGCCAGGAGTGGGGTCAGAGGAGGAGGGGGCCGGCACCCACCACACTGGTTCTCATCGGAGCAGTTGCTGCAGTCACAGACGAAGTTGCAGAGCTGCTCGGCCGTGCTGCTGCAGCTGTTGATGACTATGGACCCGCTGGGGAGGACAGTCCTGGCTATGGGACAGACAATGGGGCTGAAAACCCCACAAGGATCTGGGCACGGTGCCCATGGCGGGTGACAGAGGGCACACGCGGCCTGCAGGTGACATTTGTCTGGGTTTCCCAGTGTGGGACCCTTCTGGGGGGAGTGCTGACCTCCCAGAGGCACTGTCCCTTGGACAGGACCCCTTGCCACTGCTCCAGTGCCCCCACCTCCCACATCTCCCACTTTGCCATCTCCCACCACCAACCCCACTCCCATGTGCCCTCAGGGTGCCAGAGCCCCCAGGGCAGGGGCACTGACCCTCTGGACTGGTATATAAAACCCCTGCTCCAAGTCTCAGCCCCTGGTTTGGGGGAAACAGGAAAATTTGGGCATTTTCCTATCCACACTGAGCAAAGCCACTGACAATACCCAGCCTGGCTCTAGTGCTTGGCCTGGGAACCCCAGGCTGACCTTCACCAGCAGAGCCCAGAAGGTTTTACTGGGTTGTGTCTGCCTCAACACCCCAGAGCGCAGCCCCCCAGGCTGGGGGAAGCAACAATCCCCACGGGAGCCCAAGCTGGGGAGGGACAGAGTGGAGCAGCCAGCGCTGCAGCCCCTTCCCTCCCCGCAGCACGACCCCCCCGTGTCAGCAGAGCTCACCCAGCAGCAGCAGGAGGGCGAGCGCTGCCTGTCCGGACATCTTGGCCTCAGGGCTGCAGCGACGGTAAAATAGAGCCAGGAGAGGCACGGGGCTGGTGGGGGAAGCCACGCCGTGAGCCCAGAGCTGGAATCTGCTCCCCAGGACCTGCCCCGCGTTGGACTTCAGCCCCATCGTTATCAGCTTCCCAGTGGGGTTTATGGCGAGGCAGTTCGCAGGGCTGGGACAGCCACCTGTGGTCCTGCTGTCCGGCACCGCTGCTGACATCACCGGCAGCAAGCTGGCAGCTCTGCAACCCCAGTAGACCTCCGGATGCTTTGCGCCTCCAAACCCCTCCTCTTTGGCCCTCCTTTTCCAACTAGGACAAGATGCTGGGTGCCACCCTGACTGGGACAGGGTCAGTTAGCATGGTCCAGGGGCACACACTGGCTTGGTGAGGGGAAAGGCCACTTCTTCCTCCTGAGCTGGTGATGCTGCCAGCCCTGGGGGAGAAGCTGGCACCTCTGCAGGGGCATGGGTGCTGTGCCAGCTGCCTGGGCTGTATTGTGTCTAACCACAGGAATAAACAGACCCTGAGCATAAGGAGCAGTGGAAGAGCCTTTGGGTGCAGGGCATAGCCTTTGGATGGGAGGCATGGGCTGGCAGTTGGGTGCACCCTGGCCAGGGAGGGCAGTGGGAATGGGGTGCAAGGAGCAACCACAAGGCAGGAAAGGCATAAATGGGTCATGATGCACCAGGCAATGGTGAGCCATGGCAGGCGGGGATCCTTAGGACTGGCACGGGGTTTAACCATAAAAACATTGGAGCTCTGAATTCAGAACAAAACTGGAGACTCAGGACAGGCTGGGAGAGGAAGCAGAGACAGGCAAGACATGCAGGAGGAGTCTGTCCCAGCACACAGCTGAGCTGCCCTTGCCAAAAGCCGGGACTCCAGCACACCCCAGCCCAAGACCCGTGGGGGCAGTCCCCCAGGATGCACCGATGGCAGGCAGGAGGGGGTTCTCAGTCTGCCTGGTATGGGCAGAACAGCCTGGAAGCCCTGTGCTCCCACTGCCACGTGCAGTCTGTGCAGCAGCCGCTTTGGGAGGATGCCCAGGCCAGCGCAGAGCCTGGCAGGCTGCCTGAAGTGCTCCTTCCCCAGCCTCCTGGCAGCCTCTCTCAACAGCCTGGGGGCCCAGAGGTGCCATCGGCAGGAGCCACCCCTCACCCCTGCCAGCACTACTCTGTCTGGCAGGAACATCTCAGCACCCAGCTCACAACTGCCAGAGGGTGAAGGAGCACAGCTCTAGGGCCACAACCAGATCACTCCTGGGGCAGAACAACCCTGGCAGAGCCCCAGGAAGGGCTGTTCAGCCTGGAAGTAGCGTGGCTCAGCAACCAGAGCCCCATATGGCACTGCTGGAGCTGCCTGCTGATGGCAAGCACTGCCCCTGCCTCGGTTTCCCCACTTGGAGAAGCTGCTGCCAGGGCTCATGGGGGCTACGCTGCCCCAGGGTAGCCCTCCTGCTTCTGCTGCCAGCAGCCCCTGTGCCCCGTTGCTGAAGGCTGAGTGTGGAGGTTTCTCCCCTCCTAGCCAATGGCCTTGGACAGCACAATTGCATCAGGCACAGTAAAATGCAGGGTTCAGCTCCCTTCCCCAGCATGAGCCATGACGGGCAGAGGCCAGCAACACTGTGTCCTCCCAGCCTGGGCACCCTGGGGCTGGCAGAAGCTGCAGGCAGCCCTGCTCACCCCCTGCTGCCTGGAAAACTGGCAGGCACCAAACTGACCATGAGCCAGTGCCACGGCCTCCAGCAAAGCAGCCACCAGCCTCCCAGGTGCACAGGCAGAGCATCTCCAGCAGGTCTGATCCCTCTCCTCTGCACTGGGGAGACACAGGGATGCTGGGCACCAGTACGAGATTTGGGTGTACTGGAGCAGATCTAGCTAAGGGGCTGTGACAATGACAGAGGGACTGGACTTCCCTCGAGGAGAGGCTGAGAGAGCTGGAGGTGCTTGGTCTCATAAGATAAGGTGCAGGGAGATGTCACCCATGTGTATAAAGACCCAGCAGGAGGAAGCAAAAAGCCAGCCTCTTCCGAGGAGCAAGTGCCCCATGAAAGGACGAGGGTAACAACAACAAAGTGAGAACATGAAACATCACTTAATCTTAAGAAAAAACTTTTCTCCTGTGAGGTTCATCAAAACCAAGCAGGTTGGCCAGGCTGCTGTGGGGTCTGCATCCGTGGAGATGCCCAAAACCCACCTGGCCACAGCCCGGGGCAACCTGCTGCTGCCAGCCCTGCGGGGCAGGGGAGGGATGACACCTCCCGAGGCGCCTCCAAGGTCTGTGATCCAGGGACTTGAGGGGAAGCTCTGCTCCTCCATGTGACCAACACAAGGCACTCAGCCCCCACCTAACAGCCACCCGTGTTCAGTGCACACCTGATTGTTGGGCGACATCCACCCCAGCATGAAGGAAGTGGTAAACACCTTGCTGGGCACAGCAAAGCTACTTTTGTAGAGTGAGTCAGTGCAACCTAATGTGTGTCCAGGGCACATGGACTTAGCCCCCCGTTTTCTTCCCCCTCCACCAGCTTGCAAGGCTGATGGGCATGATCCTCCTCAGGAAACAGCTCCAGCCCTGAGCCACCAGGCAGGCAGTGGGCCCTGCAGCCCCAGCCTGGCCCATGAAGCTCATCCCCATCTACCATGATCTTTTGAGTTCGGCGCAGGACACCGGGCACAGGGGCTGAGCTTCAGCAGGTTGTTCTGGCCCTGCACAGCTCCAGGTAGAGGATCCATCTCCTGTCTAGATGCCTGCATCCCCGATGGCAAGAGGGGAAGGCAGGGTGGCAGCAGCAGGCAAAGCAGACAGGCAGGAACTGGGAGCAAACAGAATCACAGCCCAAGTGAAACAGGGCTGGGGACATGGAGTGGTGAGGTTCCTCCAGCCCCAACCTTGTATGGGATGGCAACTGAGCAATTCACCTTCCCAACCTGACCTGCACGTCCCCCTCAAGCTCTCCTGCCACCAAAGGCTCCAGCAGCTTTTCCCAGTCTCACCACCCAGCTCTTCACTGGAAGTCTAAGTGGAGTCTCCCTGGGAAATACTGAGGGACAGGAGCCAGTCCTGCCTGTCCAGGAGGATGCTCTACCTCATGGTGTGACCAGCTGCCTGGGTGGGAATGAGTTTGTTCTTCCAAACCATGCTCCCAGGCAGCTCGGCTCCCTCCCAGCAGGAGATGAGGGTGTTCCTTCCCCTAGGACCACCTTGCCCTTCCCTCTGCCAGGCGTGGGCGCCCACTGCTTTCTCCTTCCCTGCCTTAGCCCTTCTCAAGGCTAGTTCTGACACACTTTCTGCTGCCCCCACCCCAGACCCTGCCAGGTCTGGGGTCAGGCCCCCCACAAGTGGCTGGAAAACCGAGGGGGGGGAGTCACCCCCATTGTGGGTGACTGGGCACAACCCAGAACCAGGGGAAGGTGCAGGCTGAGCTGTGAACATGTGACCACGCAAGGAACTGTGCTCCCAACGTGTTTAATTCTCACATACACACGTGGGACAAACCCCCTCGCCACCAGGGAGACCAGGACAGAGCACCCACCAGCTGCACCGAGGCTTTACCGCGCCACGCTGGGGAGGTGGGGAGCACCCACGGCGCGTGGGAAGCCGGGTGACAGCAGAGAACAGACGAGTTCAACACAAAGAAAAACAGGAGAACCCAGAGCACGGGGAGCCTGCTGCCACTGCTCCGGCGCTGGATCCGGCTGTGCCAGCTTCAGGCTGGCGCCGCTGCCCAGCCAGAGCAAGTCAGTAGCCTTCGTCTGCCCAGGTGATCTCATAGTCTGGGTACTTGGCTTTCAGCTTCTCCGTAGTCACGGAGTGGTCCGCTCGCCCAAATCCCTGGCAGAGGAGAGAGGGTCCAAAGTAGAGGCAGCGCAGTTACGACCTGTGGGAGAGCTTGGCGAAGCCCTGGGGCAGCTCGCCGACAGCGGATGCCCCAGCAGCACCCCCCGGCAGCAGACGGTGCTGCTGAGCCCGTGCCAGCTCCAAGCCCTCGGTGGCAGTGGCTCAGGACACGGGCAGCTCAGCCCGGCCCCCGCTGCCAGACAGCGCGGCACGGCAACCGGGCTGAGGGATGGAGCCACCCCGGGGCTGGGAAAACCGGCACCCGGCATCCCCGATACCCTCCTGGGGCACTCCCGAAGGGACGTGGGCACCCCCAGCCAGGCCCCGGCGGCACCCTCTGCCCTTCGGCCCGGCCCTTCTGCTCCCGAGGGGACCCGGTGTCGGTCCAGCCAGCGGCAGCGGTACCGGCAGGGGCGCTCGTGCTGCCGTCGGGAGGCGGAGAAGGCGCGTCCACGGGTGGGTGCATCCCCCGTCCCCCCCCCGCGGCGCCTCGCTTACCACCGAGTACCCGTAGACGTGGATCTTCCTCTCCTGGGGGCGGTGGGAGAGGCGGCCGCCCCCCAGGCAC